AAACGTAATTTTTTTCCGCGGAAACGGAAACGGAAAAAAAATCTTCAAAAATCGGGCGGAAAACAAAAACGGAAATTTCTGTTTTCGTCTATTTTTCAGGATTTGTTTTCCCATCAAACATGAAAATAAAAACTTTTTAAGTTTGAAGGCTATATTTGCCTCATTATCCATTCTTTTATTCGAGCCAGTTTCAGTTTAATCTTTTCGTCAATTTTTACTTTTTTCCGTTTCCGTTGAAAAAAATTGACGGTTTTCCCAGAAAACGGAAACGGAAATAGAATTTCGCTTTTACGGAAACGGAAAAAATCTCTAAAAACCGGGCGGAAAACGGAAACGGAAACGGAAATTCCTCCCATCACTGCAAAACACTAAATCAACTTATTTTGAGAAAATTATTTATTAACAAAAATGCACAATGGGAGTTCTGATTGTGTGATAGAACAACTTCATTAAAGGTGGGGGGGACATGAAAAAAATAATTTTCTTGAAATTCCGTGATCGCTAGCTAAATCTAGACAGATTCCACAAAGTTCCTATTCCAGCACGCCATGACACCAGCCGCCGCTCGCCCTGGCTCCCTCTGGGACTCTCAATCATCTCTCTCCCAAAGCGGCAACAGCGGAGACCAATGGAGCCCACTGTTCTCACCAAACACCTGGTCCAACACCCCTTCCAACAATCCACGTCTCTCATCGCTCGGCATGAACGAGACCCTCCTCGGAGGCCACAACTTCAACTCCATCTTGGCAATGCCACCAAGTGCCAAGAACGAGAGAAGCATTGGTGTTCAGGCTGATGAGCTTTTGGATCGTATGTTCATTAATCCGATCGGACGTACTGGATGCACTTGTCAGTGCCAGTGTGGAAGAGGTGGTGCCGCCGTCATTGGTGGAAACACTCGTGGATCTTCGTCTAGAGCTTCTGGAGGATCCGCATCGCCACCAAGCGTCGATGGGGCAAATCAGCAGGATCGTCTCTCGCCATCCAATCGTGAGTTTTTTAGTTTTGAGGATCTAGATTTTACTTAAGCTGATGATTGTTCTAAAACATTCTTCTTATAACCATCATGTCCTTCACAGGTAATGGAAACAGTAAATGTTGTAGACCTCTTCACAATGGTCCGACTGA